ACAAGCTAGTTTATCCATCTGCCTGTTAGAAATTCATGGGGCACGCCAGATTCACTGTTGTCATACTAAGGTTCAGGAACAACCAAACCTAATCAGACCGTAGGTCAAGAATGATTCAATATGTTCCGCCCAACCATTTTGCCATAATTTTTAAAAAAAAAAGCTTTTTTTTTTTTTTTTTTTTTTTTCCTTTTTTAAAAAATAAAAAATTTAGTTTTAGATTTTGCCATAACACAGAGGTACACTGTGGAATGGATGGTATCGACTGAACTGTACAAACAAAAAGCTGTCTTTTATATATTAAGAAATGCAATAGATGTTTAAAGTGAAATCGAAAACAATGAAATTGACTACAAGTATTTTATGAATATATTGTCGTGTTTAAGTTAAGTAATGCTCACAGTATTGAAAGTGGAATTTAAAATATTCTGGTTAAAAAGTGCAACGGGTTCTCGTCCATGCAAATTCTAACTACCAACATTTCAGAAGCTTGGAAAGTTATTTTTGTGTAATCGACAAATGTAAGCTTGCGTTAGAAATTTTTTAACGCGTTATCTATTTGATATATGTATATAAGTATACCTGATATTATAATGAGCAATCGTTTGTGCTCGAAACGTCATCTGTTAATATTACTGTACAACACTGTGTGATTTATCAAAATAAAATCTTATCCATAATGGAGTAGTTAAATATCATTCCTACCGATGCAGTAATGTTTATTTGCGAGCACTTAAATTTCCTCAAAACTAGCAAATGCGATAACCAATCTTCAACCTACTCAAAAAGTTCGTCATGTTGCCGTCAAATACGGTTTACAGGTGTCATATTCAATAGGTTATTTTCAAGTGAATCACGGTGTTATCGAATTACAACTTCTTATCACAAAGAAGAAACTTTACCAACAGAACCTGATAACCGTTCCCACCAAAATTCCAATTTTCCTGTAATTTTCCCGAAAGGTGGTGTCCGCAGTAACAAAATAGGATTTAAGAGTCATTTTTAAAGAAGGTGATTCACTTTCAGCCATTACTGACTGAGTAGCTTTGTCATTTATGCCGGAATACCCGATTTTCGACTTGTGAATAGTTTTATATTTCAAAAGATATGGGTTTTTGTAAATTCAACATACCTGTCAAATATCATACCCATTGTACTAATTTTCGAGACTGTTTTGTTCAGAAATGAACCAGCTTCATTTTCACTAATTCGACTTCCCGAATAATGTATACTGCATTTTGTGGGAATTTCAGCTTAAACTTTATACGCAGAGGATTATTCACTGACTGAAATAGATACTTAACTATGCTATAAACCAAGAGGAAATTAAAATGAATAATGAAATATTCACCGTGCTGACTAGCAATTTAGTCGTATAAAGTTCATAGATTAGGTGAATTGAGACACTTGATTTGGCTAGTTTTTTCCGAGGGCGATTCCCTTAAAAATTCTTTCTTTAAGGACACAGTTTGAGAATAATTTGAATCAGAACACTCTGAAGGGCTAATTTTTAGCACATTGTATCAGGCTGTAAAAAAATGGAAACGAAATTAACTGCTGCCAGTGGTTAATACTTAAACATATTTTTGTGGCGCTTATCGTAGCACTGTTACAAAGCAAAGGCACGTTTTGTTTTGCGCTTGCCGATTGTAAAAGATAGTGAAGCTTACCTAAGACCGTGATTTTTTGTTGCAACATATAGGCAACAACAGATTCGAAATTTCAGTGTGCTCACAAGTGCTTATTTTTACCTTAAAACTCGATTTCAGCAGTACTTATGAGAAACCTACTCGATACAAAAACATTGCGAAGACGATGGAGTTGTGAACTATGTGGGTGCTGCATAATTATGATCACATGACGTTGGATTTTATTCCTTAGCCATCTGCGAACCGTACTGTTTTCTGTTATTAGACTTCATGCGCTGCAGAACTAGCTTAATAAATTTCCTGACTAGATTTATAACTGTGCGCAGACAGTTTAAGTAATCAGCATCTTTTTTAAATAAAAAGTAGTAAAACAGCTGTTTGACGAGGTTATAAGTTTGAGATATTCTGATGCGTCTGCCCACAGATCCACTTTTACATTAGTTTTTCTCACATTCTAAGTTACAATATGCATGTGTGTAGGGGAATAAGAAACATTAAATTCTTATTCAACATTAATTCATTGGTTTTCTGCACCAAGCAGTGTGTATATTTTGGTTACCATAAAATCTCCGTTTAAAAGCATTAGTGAGACGGGCGTTAGGAAAGGAACTTATCGCAGTTAAAAAGAGATACTGGTCAGGCACATTATTTCAGCAAAGCTGGGGTTTTAAGCACAGGCAGTGTATGCACTGTATGTAAAACAACTCTCAATGCACAATGTAGTTTGTGGTTTGGGGTGACTAAGCAAACATTTGTTCATTTTGACGTATATACAAATTTTTGAATTTCATTCTGTTGTCTCGCCAGGCAGTTCAACCGCTTTTTAGCGTACAACCTCATAGAGGAACAAAACATTTAGATTAATTGGTATTTTTCCGGAAATATTAGGCCTCATAACACTGTGAACTCCGTCAAGAGCTTAAGTATAATAAATCCAAAAAGTTGAAGCTATTTCTCACCATGAGTTTATTTCTTTTGATTTTTCGATTACAACTTGAATCCATACTGTATTTTTGGTACAAGTATGGGATTTTCAACATGGATATCAATAGCCCAAATTTTGCAGACCGACTGTAGATAACAGGTGTGTCGGCAGGGGATCGAACCCTGGACCATGTGCATGGTCTGCGAGAGTCCTAACCACTGTGCCACCGACGCACCGGGCACATACTTGATGCCAGATCTGAAGTTTTAAACAGTGGCCCATTTTGATTTAAAGATGGCTTGTGAAATCCTGTAAGCGTATCTTTCACATTAAAGTTATATGACTGAAGTAGTAGCTCATCCCTCAAAGCTTCTATAAAGAGTGGTATCCATCTAAAATATCTGTTCTCGCAGTTCGTATCCCCATTCTTACACATAGTCTCATTGATATCCATTGTCATCAATTAGCACTTGACACTGATTTACTTTGAGGCTTTTCTCAGCTTTACTATACTAGCACATAAGTACCTGTAGTGTTAATGATAGTATATAGTGAAGTGAATGCGTTTCATTTCTAGTGAGTGTTAACTCTTTCAGGTGACAGGGAAGCTTGTGGATAAGATCTCAGATAGCCGTTATGGAAAAATACCTTTTGACTGAACCTTTTACTACAGAGCTGAAATCTGCTGTTTGAATTGTGATCGTGTTAACCATCTTAGAAGGAAGATAAATACAAGAGAAAACATCTCTGGTAAATTTATTGAAACCCTATTACCTTTTTAAACGAATTACTCCAGGGAAACTGCTGCATTTTAATAAATCACTTGTCTCGTTTATTAACTAGTTGTCCACTTTATGATGAAAACAGAAAGTAATACATGTTTTTAATTCGTTTTGATTGCAGTAGAAATAAGTGCCCATTTGGTGAACATCAGTAAAATGATAGACTGCTATTATTTTGGCGAAACTATTGCTAATCACTCCTTAGAGTGACCTATTATTGTTATTTAAAATAATTCGAACTTTTCAATGTAGCTTGTGAATATCAGTTTTGTTGGATTACATTTGGCAGTTTGTGTTTTATTTATGCAATTTAGAAGTAAATATAGGAACATTTAATCAGATATATCTAGATCTTTCTTTTCGTATTCTGTGTTGTATGGAAGAAGAAATGCCCTGTATATCTATTTAGTCACTAAACACAGCAAACTTTTCATTTTAGCGGTGTTCCTTTAGTTTTTGTTACTTAAAGCCAAACCAAAATTCCCTAGACACACAATAAATCACACTGCCACAAACGCATCTATTTTCACCGTAAAATGAAGTATTTCCTAATAATGTATTTCACAAATGGTCTGCATATTGTAAGTATTTTGCTCGAAAATGTCTAGCAATGATTAGAGAGGTGTTTGTTATTTAGCTTGTGCACAGGGAATTTAGCTATTGGCTTTACAGTTCAAAAGAGTGAAATAAATAGTCAATATTTAGTGCGTTGGTGGCACAGTGGTTAGGACTCTCGCAGATCATGCACATGGTCCAGGGTTCGATCCCCTGCCGACACACCTGTTATCTACAGTCGGTCTGCAAAATTTGGGCTATTGATATCCATGTTGAAAATCCCATACTTGTACCAAAAATACAGTATGGAATCAAGTTGTAATCAAAAAATAAAAAAATATTCCTTTATGAAGCGAATTCTACTGATCAGAAGGCAAGTCATTTGTTTCGCCAAGTATATAAAGCGCTTTGTAGTTACCACTTGTGTGGCTTATGAAATTTTCAAATCGAAGGTGATGAATCAAATGTATGTGGTTTCTACTCAGATTGTGTAGCTTAACAAAAAGTGCGAAACGAAACAAAAGGATATTTCTGTTATTTCCATTTTGCAACTCTTCGGGAAATGAAAGAAGCTTGGAAGTGACCAACTTATCTCCGAAAAAGATATTTATTGCAAAAATGTTAGTGATAAATGTAAAGTTTGGTTTTGTCCAAATCATTATAGCTCACAGTGTTAATTTTCACAACAATCTGAGTGACAAAAATCGACTATGTTCGAAAATGGTGGGAGATCAATCAAGGAACCGCTATAAGTTAGAATATTATTAGTGTCTGAATTTAAAAAAAATGTGAACATGTAAAACTCTACAATTAGCTCAATAACATATTCGGTTCCGAGGGTTCATACTGGTGTATTGTTTATTAGTGATTGACATTCATGAGACTATTATTATAAAAATGCTTTCTTTTTTGTCATTGTCTTGAATGAGTTGAGTGCTTTGATTCCAAAGATTTTCATCTATTTTTAAACAAAATGTTCAGCTCTAACCCTAGTGTCTTTATTCACAACTCACAGATGTCCAGTTATCACACTGTTTTGATATAGTCTTTAAAACACAAGAAAATTGACTCTATATAAATTTCACTGACATGGAATCTGACGACAGTTATGAAACGGTATCAGTAAATCTAAAAGAAGATACAGAGTCGGACTTATCTGACAATCAAAGTAGTGACCGTAGCAATCATAATGATACAAGAGAAGGAAATTGTTCAAGTTGTGATGGTTACTTATCAAATGGAGAAGTGTTAAATGATACTCATTCACAGAAACAATACCATAGTTTTTCAAGAAAATTGAAAGGTGAGCTTTTTTTATTATGACAAAATATTTTTCCCAGAACAAGGAAAAAAGATTAAACTACTGGAACAGGAACGTATAGGCTTTCTTGAACAAATTGCCAATCTCTGTTCATCACTGGAAAAAAAGCAGCAAGAGCTTGTCGAAGTTCTGCAACTATCTGAGGAAAAAGCGAAATATCACGCCCACTACATGACTGAGGTTTGTTTATAATCTTTTAAGTAGTCTGCATTTCATTTATTATTACATAATTCCTTTGTGTACATACTGCGATCGTGTGTATACAATTTTAACATTTAACATCGAATCATTCCGAGTTTAATTACATCCAGGAAATGAATTTCGGAGTAGGCGGTAGTACATTATGTTACGGAACACGTTTCATTCTTCACTACTAGTTTGATGAATAACAACAGTTATAAAATTAAAGGGATTTTAAAACAAGCAATAAAGGTTAATAAAACAGGATTTAGTGAATTCATCAAATCTCAGTAGAGCTCGTCAGCTGAATAGTCTACATACACGAATATATATACGTTTGAAATTACATTGGAAAGCCCTTGCGAAAACGTTTTGAAACGTATATAGTTTCTGATTCGTTTCAGTTTGTCAAGCAAATTAAAGATTTTAATGTATCTGATAAGCATCTGGTCTCTTTCGACGTTACCTCCCACTTCAAAAATGAGCCAGTCGTTGAGCCTGTTGACTTTATATGTAGAGAAGCTGAAGACATACTCATTCCAACATCGGAACTGAGGAAATTATTACTTTTATGTACTAAAAATGTCCAGTTCCAATTCGACGGGCGTCTATTCCGTCAAGTTGATGGTGTCGCAATGGGAAGCCTCTTGGGTCCATATGGACAGGAAGGTACATGCATTTCAAGAGCTTTGTTCTAATACAGTATAAAAAGAACTTAGTCAGAACACTGTTCAACACAGCACGAAAAATTTGTTCTGACAGTACTTTTGAGCATGAAATAAAATCACTGAAGGATATTTTATCTTAGAATAGATATCCTGAGAAGTTCATTAATAAATACTCTAAAAAAATTAGCCCCTGCAAAACTATCCAAACAGCGACAAAGAAATCTATGTCAGTTTGCCATTCAAAGGAGATGATGTACAGGAAGTAGACAAATGAAGATTCAATAAAGCCATCAAGAGAACTTATTATTCTGCAAAACGTCTTATCCTTAACACCACTAAGCGGACGCTTCAACAATCTAGGAACGACCAGTCACCAATCCTCGACACTTCAAACTGTGTACATCAATTTGAGTGTGTTTGTAGAAGTAAATACATAGGTCGTACAGAAAGGCGATTGTCTACTGCATGATGGAGCATTTGCCAAAATGGTTGAAAACAGCTGAGTGCAAAGTGCCAATAACCTGAATAACAAAACATCTTGTGGACTATGGACATGATATCGACGCTGTCAAGTCATTCACTATTGTCAGCAGACAAACAGGAAGATGCTTACAATTGCACAGGCTTGTGCAATTCGAGTTTATAAACCAGGTCTCTGTGTACAAAAGGAGATGGTCGTGACTTTGAATCTACCATGGTAATACGTTTTACTTATTATTATACCTCTTATTATTACTACTGTTATTATTATTCTTGATTCATTTATGACTATCCTTTATCAGTAGAATTATCCTAACTCACTTCAAAACTATTATTATTATCGTTGTTATTATAACTATTGCTTTTGATATTACTCTCTTTGCAATTCTTGTTATACTCTCTAATGAAAAATTGTTTATCTAAGTGATGTAATTGAGGCGTTATGCAATTTGTCGTGATTTTTATGTCTCATACTCTCTTTCCCTTTATCTATTTGAACATGACCTGTAAAACATTCGCACCTGTCTTTCTGCGTGACTAAGTCAATGTAGTTTGTTTACTTATTAGTCTTATATCTCCCAGTGTAAATTCAAAAGTATATATATATATATCCGTGTATGTAGAGTATTCAGCTGACGAGTCCTACGGAAATTTGATGAATTTAATAAATCCTGCTATATTAACCTTTGTTGCTTGTTTTAAATTCACATCAGGAAATAAATGTTTTCAACTGTTCAAGGGATTTTGGTTTTGCTTTTGCTATTTATTATAGTAATTACCAAATGTTCACCTCTTTATGATAATACGCAATTTTTAACAGTCAATAATACTGAATATCATAATACTTTTCATCTTAAAATAACTACTTGAAGGAATTCTATGCAACTGAACAAAAGGTTAAGTAGATTTTAATTGATAGGCTGTGACTGATTCTGTTATCCTTGGAGAGCGACATAGTATTACGTAATCATCAAAATATTTGATATTTTTTTCAGTGGAGTGAAAAATCACCTTTAAAAAAATAAGAATGCAGATAAAATCTTAATACTTTAAACAAACTTTATTTCAGTGATTATACCCTGGTAAATATTTAGTTGCTTGCCAACAAACAAACAACAAAATATGTGGTATTAGATTTGGATATTGCATTGCTGCAAAACAGTTTTCAGTTATTTGTTTGTTTTTCTGCTCAATGAATCCAGTATTCAAATACAGATGATTTGCTTAAGAAAGTGCGAAGTGTTTGAATCAACCTTATTGGCAATTTTTAACATTTGGCAAATAGATATGACTTAAGACTTTGTTGACCACAGACAAATTAATTTACTGAAAACAATGAACTCTATGATAATTCATAGAAGAAAGTTTTAATTTAGTGACTTTTCCAAATGGCTTTATTAGATTTTGAACGTTTTAGAAGTGGATCCAAAATATGGTATTGTAATAATTAATCACTTTCACTACAGTTGATGAAAACATAGTGAACGTTATTGGTTTGATGGATTTTTGTTCAATCATTTGTCAACTTGAAAGCACCTGCTTCATATAGATTTTTCAAAAAGCTCAACCGATCATATTAAACCCTCCTACACAAGTTTTAGTGAACTCTCATTTGTGAGACCAATGATTATTAAAAAAAGTGTTTAGTATCACCTTAATGTTAATTTCTAACAGTTTCGATTGGTTCATGAAAAGAAGACATAAGCCTGTCAACCATTTGGTTGTGTGGTCTGAGCAATAAATGTAAGTTTCTTGTCTGAAGTCTGTTAATCAAGTCTGTTGGGGATCTCTGACAACATAATCCAAAGATGTCCGCAGTGGTTTAAATGTATTATAGTGATGTTTTAATTATTTTCTCATCTCTGGACATACAATGCTAATTTCATTTAAGCAATATATGTTTCCTGTTACGCTCATAGTTTGCTTTGTAATGGTGTTTTTATATCTGTTATTTTGGTTGGTAGTAAAAAAAAACAATGGAATCCAAGATGTTCATTCGCTTCTAATCAGGACTTGTCAACTGGATATACCTGATTGCTTCTTGACTGATGATGTTGCCGTAAAGACCGAATAGCATCACGAATTAGTCAGAAATGCAAACTAACCTAGAAAACAAATAAAAGTGCTTCATTTTTATTAATTTCTCTTTTATATGATGTTTCAAGATGTCGCAAATACAAATGATGCACTGCTGTTAAACATTCTAAGTTGATATATCCTAGCAGATATGACGCTAAGAGAATTATTTTGATAAGAAATAAGTGTTAGGAATTACTACATTTATTTATTTTAAAGTACTGTCCTATGAGTATGATTGTAGTACTTAATCCGTTTGAAGAGAAATGACGAATAGAGTTTAAAATTGATTTTACCAAAGTTCTTCTGTGTTTTGGCAAGCTATTTATCAAGATTTCAAAAGTTGAAATTCTATGGCATAGCTGATCATCAGAACAGCGATATAATGCTTATTATGATGCTCGTTATTATCAGCTTGTCTTTAGTTGTATATTAAGTATGCATAAGTTAAACATATAGCTTAAGATTATGTATTAAAATCCTTATCATTTTAAGATTTTCGAATGTTCCTAATTATTCTAAAATTCAACTATTTAGGTTAGCAATTTACTAGCTGAACTTGGGACACTATTTCCAGAAAATACAAATGGTTCTACTCAAAAAAATAAAACTTTAAAATGTCCATCTGAAGTTAATGATAAGAAAGAGAATTCAAGTTCTACAGAAAATACACATGTTAATACATCTTCTACTAATTCCACAGTGGATGATAATTGCAACTCTGACTTTCCAAGAGATAATCGTGGTCGTGCTCTACTTGATGCATTATCCGTTGCAGTAAATGCTGCAAAAAATATGAATTATAGAAAAACTTCAACAAATGATTCTCAAATATCTCAAGGATCTGGTAAGTATCTTACACTTATGTTATTATTTTCAATTGTAATGTTCCAATAATATATTAATAATTCTCAGAAGCCGATAGAATAATAGATAATATTGACTAAAAATAAGGAATATTCATGTATTATTTTTGATTCATGAATTTCTGATGACTAGAATGTTTAACACGTAAAACATCCTCCGTTAGATAGTTGATGGCTTTTGTTTAATACTCGTGGTTAGGAAAGATATAAATACTGATCTGGTAAAGATTCAATATGTGTAAGTATAAGACTAAATTTTTTTTACTATGCTTACTGAGAAATCAATGATAGCAACCAAATTATAAGTTTTGTTGTCAACATTCTTATAGTGTGGGATATTCAGCATATATTACTGTTATTTTAAGAGTTTATGACCTTTATTTTTCATAAATCAGAAATACTTAGGAATTTCATTGTTTAGGCGCATTTTCCTTGATAAGGATTTTCGCATCACAGTCTGCTGAATACAAATCACAGAATGTTTTAGAAACTGACTGTAAAGAAAAGAGTGCAGGTTGGCATATTTTAGAATCTAAACGTGAAAATGGTAGAAAGAAACTCATAATCAAACATTCTTAACTGCTTGTGACTTATTATAAATTATTTAAATTAATCCCAACGTTTTAAGAGAATCAAAACAAGATTTTTTCAAACTTTTCGCCCTGTAAGCCACAGCTTCTTCAGCAGATTTTAGAGAAATAATTTTTAATGAACCAATCTGACTCCGCGCTCAAATTATTCCAAGAAGTTCGTAACACCCACAGTCTGGAAACCTATAAGCTTGTGACTTATTATTATTTATTATTATTGTTCCCTTGGGTTTCTAGTGGAACATAGGGCTTCAACTGCACTATTTTTAATATATTTATGCATTGAAGTTTCTGTAGCAATTTGGTTAAGTTTTGGGAGTGGAGTTGCTAGCACCACGCCCCAACCCTCCTTCTTTATCCGGGCTTGGGACCGCCTAAAAAACTAGCGAGCTAGTAATCTAGGCGAGGTTGCTTGTGACTTGCACCATGTTAACGACGATCATGTCGATAATAATTCATAAAGAACGAATGAGGATAAGAATGAATTGAATTATAAGTATGACTAATAGAAGACTAGAAGGTATACCAGTGCGTGCCTAGTATAGCCGTAAGGCAAGTTTCTTAACATACACCATTTAACTGAACAGGAAAAACTGAAATCTGTAGATTAAACCTAAGTGGCTCTACCCACTGATTATATTTGTTAAGATAAACGAAACACGAACATATATGTGTACTTATTATTTAGTGTCTTACTACAAAATATAAGACCTGTGTACAACTATTTGTTTATACATGAATAGTGGTTATTTCCTGAATCAAATACAGTAATATGCGCTAGTTGATGTGCTTAAGTGATCGCGTAATCAGAACACTGAAATTCAGCAAGTTCCATAAGTGTCAATACCTTGATACTCATTTTATTCCTTTACGTTCTCAGTGGAACATAGGGCTTCAAGCTAGAGCTTTGAAGTTTCGGTAGCAGTGGTATTTATTTTTACGGGAGGCGGTTGCTAGCCTCATGCCCAACCTTCCCTCTTATTATTGGCTTAGCTAGGTAAAGGAGTGCGTCGGCTGAGGATCGAACCTCGAACCACCTGCTTGGTTGCCAAGCATTTCACCTCTGTGTCCCTGACACACAAGACCATGGTATGGTGTGTCAGAGTGAAGTAAGTTAGATGAATAGTTTCTAAGGGAAACATATTTTAAAATTTCACTGATTCGCAGATAAAAATTTATTGATGAAAAATTATTCTTTTTGGAGAAAAATCTCACATGAGTCAGTAGAGTGATTCAGAATTTACATCCACTTTGTTACGATTTCATTACCACATATTCATGGTCCACTACGTAGCTGTGTACGTAAATTCAACAAGTCAATTTATTTCTTTTAAGAGGAGAACACAAAGATGAAGGTGATTTCTTTAATTAACAAGAAAAAACTAGGTTGAGAACCGATTAGTAGGAATTCCAGTCCCACTCAGAGCATACATACACTTGAATTTGAGTGTGACTTATGCGTTTCGGTATAACTTGGAGAGTTTAGCCTATTAGGTTAGCTTCAAGGAAAATAAATTTCCACTTCTTAGCCGTTATTCAGAACAGACTGAATAACGAAGCAAAAGTATAATTATGAGTATTATAATCTGATATACTGCTAGAAGGATTTTAATGTAGACATCCTCTTATTGGATCACCTTCAATTCATACATTCATTATCCAACTATGATAACTGATTTCAAATGTCGAGAAATAAGGAGGCTGAGAGTGTTCTCGTTTCTTATATTTTATGTGTAGCATTAATGTCTCTTGTGTCGTTGGCATAGCGATTAGCACGCTCGCCTACCATGTACTTGGTCCGGGGTTCAATCCCCTGCCGACGCACCCCTTTACCTCGCTAAGCCAATAATAAACCTGGTAAAAAGAAAAGGTTAGGCATGGGGCTAGCAACCCCATCCTGTAAAAAATAACGTTGCTACAGAAACTTTGAGCCTTCTAGCTTGAAGCCCTATGTTCCACTTGGAACGTGAAGGAAGAAAAAATTAATGTCTCTTGATTAATCACCTTGATTTTATTCACTATGATAAGCCATTATGATAAGTACCTGACGAGGCATTGAAAATAGCTGAGCAACATCTTTCGTTTAAAGAGTCAGTGGGATAAAAGAGTTTTAAGTTAACCATTATGAATTTCCATAAACCTTAGCCTACTGAGTGCATCATGCTGTTAAATCCCATGAAATAAATGACACTTTGTAAGCAAAATTTGTTTATACTTAAAAATAAATGTAAAAGTAATAATTATATATAGAGGAAATACAATATATATGCAACCTATAATTTAGTTTAATGGTTCTTATTGCACGTACATGGTAATTTCTATTGACTTACTAATAATCACTAGTGAATTCTAGGGTGTATTTATATTTCAAATGTTAATTATTAAGTAGATGTATGTTCTAAATACTTTTTTTCCAGCTTCTTAACTGTTTCTGCTTTGAATCTGTTTATCTTTAAAAGTTAGCAATATATTTACTAAATCTATGATAAATAATTCTGTTTCGACTTCTCGAATTTTCTGATCACTTTTTCACTTTTTTGGCACAAGTTACCCATTAAATAGCCTTTGACTTCCTTTGAACCATCATTTACAGTGCTATTTCAAGAGACGGAGGAGATCTTAATAGTTTTATTATGAACAAGGAGTAACCAGAAATTCTAATTATTAGGCCTAGAATTTTCAAAGTAATATAGAGTTACATGATAAGGAGAAATATCAAAACTATCTAAGTGATTTAGATGTAATGAAGGAGATAGTCAAATCAAGCAGAATTTCATATGGTGACCTTTTTTATTAAAGTGCAATCCCTAAAAGTTGAACAGATAAGAGATATTAAAATCTATCCACTTTGAAAACGAAAACCTTCAGTCATCTCAAAAAGAAGCATCTTTTTTGTTCAACTGGAATACAGATTATTATTATTATTACTTTTATTATTATTATTATTTTTATTATTATTATTAACTGACCGACAGTAAAGTAGCTGCGGCTATTAGTAATTACTTAAAAACATTGACAAAGATAAGGTTTCTAACTCACAACAGTGGATCAAGTAAAGAAAAAACAATCTGATTTAGTCGGGACAGTTTTTAAATTCTTCCAAAACAGTCTTGAATTTAAATCCTTTCAAGATTCTGTTTATTCATTTTAAAGCGGTACACTTACACAATGCTTAATACACGTCTTTTTTAGTGTACTGCATATATTCTCGTTCATTAACTATGCAATTAAGTCCACGTGTATGCAGATTAACCAACTTTTCTACAAATGCTTTCTTTATATTGGTTATTTTCAATAAACACAAATGTTGTGATTTAAAAAGAAGTATATCTGTTTGGTTTTGTTGTTCAATAACATCATCCTATTTATGGTGTAAGTTTGTTTGAAGCAAATATTTACAGCATTACTAAATAGTATGTAAAATAGAATTATGCTTAGCGGTCACTTTATTGACAAATCTTAACAACTTCTCAGTAATGACGTCATATTAATGGACTCAGTGAACAAAAAACTGAAAATAATCAAAGTTTAAGCGATAAGAATTTAATTGATGAATGGTGACTAGCAGTGGGATCCTAGACGCGCATTTCGCCCTATTTGGGACTCGTCAACTGGATGTACCTGCATTCTCCAATGAGTAATGATGTTCCAGTCAATCGACGGGAAAAATCTAAAATTCAATGAAATAACTTAAGCGATAATAATTGAAAATCTTCATAGACAGAAATAAATTTAAAAGTGCATAAAAATAGAATACTATATTGGATTTTGAAACGACTTCTGGCAGCTGTCGTGTCAAAGACTTCTGAAAGAAAACCGTCGGTTGTACATATTTTGCATGTAAGTTATGCGTATAATACTCACTGAAATTTGGAAATGTTTTATTTTTGGGAAGATGATGTACATTTCTGGAGGGAAAACAGAAATTAAAAATCCAGTATGAATCGAGGGTATCCGTGACTGATTGACTGAAACATGTCAGTTTGAAAAGGGTGTAATTTGTGTAGGCAGTCTAATGACATATTATGTATACCCAATGATATCCATAATTTTATATCCTTCATCATTTTATTTTATATCTAGATATGTGTCTGTCAAAAATAAATTACTATTTTAGGACTCAGAGGTATCAAAACTACAGTAATTAACTTGTTATTTGAAACACTATGGAGATTACGAGAGAAACAGGCGATGTACACATCATATTTTTAAAATAACCGCATTCAAAATCTTTGACCTTGTTTACAAGCTATGCTTTAGTGTACTTATTCTGTAATTGATTAGTTTCCCAACAGCCACTTCCCGCATTAATGTCATAAATATCAAATCACTTATTGTTCAGTATTTTAATTACTATGTGGTGATAAAAGAGTAAAGAATAATGAGAATGG